ATTTGTAGGTCTAACAGTGGGGAAGAAAGACAACGGAAGAGAAATGGAAAATTAGTTAAAGCCCATCTGAAGGGTCAGGGAAAGAACACTAAGAAGAAGATGACCCAACCTGGGTCTCCTGAAGTGGAGGAACACTCTGAAAGGTTTGAAGAACAACAACCCGTAAAGGGACCTGGTCCCAAGGTCAGAAATCAGAAGGCACTGAAGGAGTTAACAAGAGAGAAAATTATCAAAATAATGGAGACCCAAAAGGTGCTAAGCGGAAGAGTTTTTTATCCCAAAATTGCCACAAAATTTGGAATGGTGGCCCTAGTTGATGTTGTGTTTGTTCAGGAATGGAGCCATCTCTTTGAGCCTCCTTCTTCGTATCTCCACAAGCCAGAAGTGCGTGAATTCTTCTATAACATGGAGTTGCTGGAAGATGGAGGAATTACGACTACTGTCAAGGATATCAGCATCCACTTGGATGAAGTTACTCTAGGAATTATATTTGGGGTACCTGTGAACGGGATCAGGTCCATCGAAGGTTGCAAACCATCTGAGGGGTTCACTGTGCAGGCTACTAAGAGAAGGGAAATTAAGCTTACAGGATTGCCCAAGAAGCTTCTTAATGGTGAATGCCAACTGTTGTTTGAATTTATCAACAAGGTACTTGTGCCTCGATCTGAAAAGTGAACAATTGCATCAGATGCGGACTTATTCCTCATGGAGCAATTGAGTGAACTCGAACCAATAAACCTTTCTGCCATAATGCTGGAGCATATGCACAGGGTAATGACATGGAGAACTACAAAGCATCGTATCCCATATGGGTACTTACTGAATCATGTCTTTACTCACTTTGAAGTTCATATAGAGAAAGGGGTACCAGGTACCATGAAATAGGCATTTACCAAGTCCACTCTATAAGAATGCGAGTGCGTGGAAGGACCAGTGAAGGGTAGGTCCTAAGTGGCAGCAGTTTTGGAGCAGCAGGCTACGCTCACCCGGGAGGTGGATGACCTCATTAAACTTTTGGTTGAGAAGGAGGTTGAAATTGCTAGATTAAAATCCGAGCTTCAAAAGGTGATCTCAGGAGGACCAAGTACCAGTAATGGTAGCACTGAGGAGCTACAAATTTTGAGGGATGAAAATGCTCAACTGATGAAAACCATTGCCTCCCTTAACAATGAAGTTAAGGCCCTCAACAAGCAAGTTATTAAGGCTCATGAATATGCCAATGAGTGAATGCTTGTGTTCATGCGTACTTTCTCCCCTCTTCCCCCTCCGTCCTAAATGTGTCCCTGTTTCTCTTTATGAGTCTGTGGCCTGTGCACTTTTTAGGTCTTGTTATTCTGTAAATCTATCTACACATTTTAACTTGCATATTTTTATTGCTTCGCCTTTTCAATGATGTCAAAAGGGGAAAGTTTGGTGCAATTGGCCAAGGATTAAGGGGAACTGGTATTAAGTTTGGTGCAATTGGGGAAAATGAATGTTGTGAACTGAATGGTGTGAACTGAAGTTGTGTTGATGTCTTAAAGGGGAACTAATATTAAGGGGGAACTGATATCAGTAAGGAGGAACTAATCGGATGGCCACGCTAATTAGTTGTTGATGTATGCTTTTATAACTGGCCAATTGAGCAATTGATTTTTGAATGAATGTCTACTCACTCGAGTGAAGAGCTGTTTATGCAGATTGTTTGTCATCATCAAAAGGGGGAAATTGATAAGAGCTTATGCCCGTTGGTGTTTTGATGATCTTCTCACAAGTGCAGAGACCTGGTCCTCTGCAGAGTATGAATCTCGTCCAGTTGTCAAAAGTGCCAGCCAACTGTTACAGTTGTCTGCGTCAGAGGGTTGGTGAAGTAGCAGTGTACTCCACCGATTACAAAGGATGATGTTGTTTGTTTGATGGGTAATAACTCTTCATGGTATAAATCAAACAAACAACAACTCATTTACTCAGTCATTCAAAGAGAGAAACTTTCAAGCTTCAAAGCAGCAAGGGACCTGATAGAAGTGCTTCTATTGCTTTCTGTACCAGCTGTATTTTGTTTGCTTGTAATAGTGCTTACATTGTAGGATTCATTTCGTTGTGATAAGAAACGTTTCAACTTGTGTGAATCATTGTGAGTTCTGAGTTAGAGTTAACTTGGCTCTCATCACTCTAAATCTATATTAATCAGGATAGGATTAGTATAGTGGGTAGTGTGGTATCTACTCTAGCTCGTCTAAGTAATAGGAGGTGTTACTTAGAGTTGGGATTAGCAGGTTAATCTCGGTTTGTAACTGGCTTTTACTTTTGCTTGAGAAGATTAGTGAAAAGTAGTTCTAAAAGTCCTGGCAGGCCAGGTCGTGATTTTACTACCTTGAGCAAGGAGGTTTTCACGTGAACTCTCTTGTCAATCTTTACTTTTCAGCACCTGTTCTTTACTGTTTTAGTTTCAACTGTGTTGAGGACCTAGTCCCATTGATACTGGTGGAAGCATACATTCCAACAAGAACCCCTTACCAGCGAAAGCAAGGGGTTAGCCTTCTGGGTCGAGCTCGTCGCACCGAGCTTGCCTAGTGCGGGTTACCTCTCCTATGTGATTTGCAAGCTATTGCATAGGAGCGGGGGTTTTACCTTGTGCGCATCCAAAGGAAGCAGCTGCGGATTTCCCTGGTCATAAAAAAAATAAAAAAATAAAAAAGGTATCATAAAGTATCATTATGAGAAAGATCCAGAAAATGAAAGATGTGGATTACACATGAGTGGAGGAAAATAGGAGAATTGGGGAAGTGGGAGTAGGTGTTGTCTATGATAATTAATCCCAATAACTTTAGTGAAATGAGTGACATGTGTCATGCACTTCCTATAGAATTATCATAAAAGATGAGATAAAAAATCATAATACATAAACTTATTTTTAACTTTGACTTTATATGATATTTTTGTGGCATAATATATAAATATGTCTTTAAACTTGATTCAGTTGGCATTTATGTCCTTCAATTTTGAGTGTGCATAAGTAGGCACTCAAACTTGTATAAAATTAAACAAGCAGACATATGCATCCAATATAACCAATTATATGGTAGTTTGCATCCTACATGGCGTTCTACGTGTTATATGACAGTAGGATGTGTGTCTACTTATTCAATTTTATAAAAGTTCAATTGTCTACTTGTACACACTCAAAGTTGAAAGACATAGATGTCAGTTGTCTTTGTGAGTACTATTTCGTTGTTCTCTTGATTCTTCTCTCCTAATATTTTTCGTGATTTGAGGTCTAACAATAGCATATTTATCGAATGTAGGATGATGTAGACCTTCTTTGAGATGTATTTGATCTCCGAAAATGTCAGACTACGCTTCTTCTTTTCAAGTTGATCTTCGAAAAGAACATTGTTGACCACTCTGTCGATAACTATGTAGTTGATGTTATAGCTTTCTCCAATGCTTGCAGAAAGTCCTCAAAAAAATGTGTAACCCTCCTATTTATAGTTGTATGTGGATGAACTCTTTTGCCTTCTTCTGATTGGTTCATGTGAGTCATCAAGTTTATCACAAATACTATGTTGATAAGGTTGCTTTTTTGATTGGTTGTTGAACATTGACCAGAATTGCCACATCATTTTACCACGTGGCATCTTTTTGTTGGTCTTTGAACTTGACTGGAATTCCAAGTCACCTTGACACATGGCATGAGCTTGGGTCTCAAGATGAAATGGACCTTGACTTGAAGTTATAAAATAGACTTATTTATTTGTGAAGCCCAAATTAATAATCGACCCTAATGAACATGAATTTAATCCAAATTTTGTATGAATTTAATTCAACAAAATTTATGTGTCTACAGACTACAAACATTTATTACAATATATAGTAATATTATGATAAATTTGCATTATGTGTTAAAAGTGAATAATGCATGTAATACAAATGTATTATAAGTGTTATAAAATATATTACACTTATTTGATAAGAAATTGACACAATATATTAAAGTGTGTGATGAATATATTATCTGTCAATAACACTTATATTATATATATTTTATAAATTTATTCTCTATAATATGTATTTAAAGTTAAAACTGTATTATAAAAGTCTTATCAGTGTTTAGTGAAAAAAATGTTATTGGTGTAGATGGTAAATATTTTTTTTAATATAGCGTGTTATGACAAGATACTTTATTTGGTAGGCTCAAATGTATTTGGATTATGCCTTACATATATCGCACGTGCAGGATACAAATCAACTAGCTTAAACTCAAAGTGGGGACACCAATCCCGTTGGGTAGCACACATTGGCAAGTACCCCACCCGCTTGTAGTGGAAGCTATTCAAGTCTCTCAAGATTGTAGATGCTATAATGCCATATGAAAAATAGAAAAGCTTCTCGTTGACTTAATTGTAATAATGTACAAGAGATGTGTTTTTATGGGGAGTCTTACACTATGCATAATATGGTAGATATTATAACTATCTTTTATCAAGGGTTGATATTAAAATGTCTGTTATAAGAATTTAGTCTGCTTCACAACCAAAGTCAGACAAATACCATGATATACCAAGATGTTTTTTCTTGCATACCCAACGATCACAACCAAAGTCAGTGGGCTATGCGTTCTTCAAGCCCAATTTTCATGGGCGCTAGATCACTTCTTTTTACTAAAACTATTTACCAACTCAACAAAGGATAATTTCAATATAAGGAGAAGAAAATGTTTCCTAATCAACAAGGAATTTTTCTCTTTCACATAAAATAAGAAAGTAATGGACCCATAAAAATTCTTTATCTTTTACATTATGTAAAAAAAAAAAAAACTAGCAAAGGTAAGGAATAATTCCAACAAACTCATCATATATAAGATAATATAAATATATTCTTTAACTCAAACATAATGAAATCATCATCTAGTATGATAAGATACATTTATTTGAGGTGAAATCGAAAATGAAAGTACTATGGTTGGCTTGCCATGGAAATTTAAAAGGCAAAGTCCTTTATTAACGTTTGATTCCATGGCATCACTCTTGACAAGGTTGATGAGGAGTCGCGATCAAGTATAGGTTACTCTTTCTAGCACAAGTTATTCCAGCAGATTCAGTTAAGTCCAAATCACTTGGATTGATTCCAATAGGAAGTTTCCAATCAAAGTGATACAACAATTTAGCTAGTGGGAAAAAAATATTAGCTAAACCAAATGATATCCCTGGACAAATCCTCCTTCCACTACCAAACGGAAGAAATTCAAAACTGTTACCAATAAAATCTACTGAAATTTGCTCAAATCTCTCAGGTTTGAAACATTCTGCATCAATCCAATATTTAGGATCTCTTCCGATAGCCCATGCATTAACCATAACTTTTGTTTTCAAAGGAATAGTATAGCCATTTATGTCTACTTCTTCCCTACATTCCCTTGCGATCAAAAGGGGTCCTGGAGGATGGAGTCTGAAAGTTTCTTTAACAACCAACTTAAGGTATTTCAATTTTTCGGCATCATTTTCATCAAAAGTTTCTTTTTCTGTGAAAGCATTTCTTATCTCAGCTTGAGCTTTCAAAAGTACACTTGGATTCCTCATCATCTCCACCATGGCCCAATCAATTAATGTTGATGAAGTCTCTGTTCCCCCAGAAAACATGTCCTTCATTCATGAACAAATTAATTACTTATATTCAGTGGCGGAGCTAAAGTGTTGATTACGGATTCAAGAGAACTAAAAAGCTATTTTTTTTAAGAAAATGACCAAACTAGTCCTGAATTTATGGGTTAGGGGTGTACATGGCTGAGTTGGTTCAGGTTTTTCAAATATCAAACCGAACCATTTGTGTCGAATTTAAATCTATAAACCAAACCAATAAAACTCGGGTTTTTCAACTTCGGGTTTTTTCGGTTTTTTCGGGTTTTTCGGATTTTTGGGTTTTTCCGGTAAAGTATTCA